GAAGGGTTCCGCTTTCAATCCACTTTCAATCACATGATTTGGCATGACCATGAATCTCAGAACATTTTGGAAAGTCTACAGAAATAAATGAATACATTAAAAGTGACCTTCTCAGAGGCTCAGGGTCATGTCTGTCAACTCCATCTTCTTATGTCAAACCTTTTGGGGGGGAGCCTGAGACTGACAGACAAAGAGACCCAGAGAGGAACCTGTCGTAATGAAAATTCAGCTGCAGCTCTCCTGCCCCTCTTTAACACCCCACCCATCTCAGCACACTCAGGGGACGGCCGGGGGAGTTTTCTCACTTCCACAGGCAGCCTTTCATTTTCCACACTACTGGAAACTTGACACTGTCATCTGTTTTGAAGTTTGTGTGCTGATAAGGCTATCTCTGTATGGAAAGTTGGAAGCAGGGCTTTTTGTTATGAGTAGGATTCCTGTACTCTGTTGTGGACCACTGAACCACACCTGAGGATTGCATGTTAAATGAAATCATTCACCAGACTGCATTCTGTGCTTTGTTAGTATGCCAAGTTTCTCAGATTGAAACACAAGATCTGCTTTATTTGGAAGCATTAAAATACTGAATGATCCCTGAGCAACAGTAAAACCAGATATTTACATTATCTGTATTAAAATATACATGACAATTTTAATCACTGTCTAGCTTTAAATCAGACAATTTTTTTAACCTTCAAATTCAAAGGTTTACATACACCTGTTCAGCTCTGCTCATACATGTTCTATGGGACTGAGATCAGTGCTTTGTGAAAACCACTCAAAAAGATTGACTTTGTGGTCCTGTCACTACTGTCAAGTGCCACTTTGCATCCAATTTGGTGGTATGCTTGGGTCATTGTTTATTTGGACGACTAATTTGTAGATAATGGTTTCAACTGAGTTCTGTGAGGTGTTCAAAGCTTGAGCTCTGGATACTGTTTTCTAACTCTGCCCTGCTTTAAACCTCCCCACAACTTTCTTCCTGACCTGTCTGCTGTAGTCTTTGGTCTTCATGATGCTCTTTGCTCTGTAATATTCTCTAACAAACCTCTGGCCTTTACAAAACAGCTGCATTTATACTTAGATTAACCTATACACTTAGATGACTTATGAAAGCAGTTGGTTGAATCGGATCTATTTATAGGAGTATCAAAAAGAGAGCTGAATGCAAATGCGCACTACAGTTTTCATGTTTATGTTAAAAGACATGTATCACTTTCCATTGACTTAAATGTGCATTAATTTGTTTCTATCTAAAAGCTCAATAAAATACTGTACATTGAAGTTTGGGGTGACAAACTGTGAAAAAGTTCAAATAATGTACTAGGCAAATCAATGTAATTTTTCAGCAGCTGAAGCCTTTAAAATAGTCCTATTTCTAAGGTACATAATAGTAAAGTATCATGACAGTGCTTTGAGATCCTTTGGATAAATCCACATAATAAAAGAGCAAGACATCCATCATCCACCCAATTGCCTTTCAGGCCAAATTACAGGTTGTCAACGGAAAAAGGTCAAGGTTGCGTTATTGCCCGTGTTAATCGTCACCTTGTGAGGCACAACCTGATTTTGATAGCTGATTTCCTCAAGTTTGTCTTTTAAGGGATGGAGCTTTTCACAGCTGTCAGAGGCAAGAAGGGTGCAATGCTAACCTAAATAATCCTCCCTGTGAGAGCCTTCACAGCTTGTGAAGGAATAAATCTGCCATGCTAGCCTGGGCCAATTTAATAAAACTCAAGAGACTGCGTCTTGGCAAGCAGTGATTGCGCTCTGCATATATAGCCCAGTAAATGTCACACTGTTCAGGTATGACAACTAAATAATAAACCTTTAGTGGCAGAAAATATGGCACACTAACCTAATAAGCATAAAACAATTTTCTCCTGTGATTAATGTCACTACTGTCAAGTGCATTTCCTTTCTTAATTTGAGTCAGAGTTATTGTTAGAGTCAAACATCACCACTTTACGTTTGTGTCATCATATTTTAAACATGCTTTTAATACTACATTCAAATACTTTTAGGTGGTAAATCTCATTCAAAACATCCTGTAATACAACACATACATACAAATATGTAAGTATTACATTTCTGCAGCTGCTGGCATCGAGTCAGAGTTGGGCCATGGACCGCTGTACCCTCTTGTCTGGCCTGCTGTCGCTCCTTAGTGGTGTGGGCAGTTCTCCTGTGGTGGCTGGTTCTTAGTGGGCTGGGGGTGTGGGGTGTCATGGGTGGGACAGAATAAGGTCTGAGGTTGGGGGGTCAGTTAATTTAGGGTATGCCTGGGTGGACAGTGGGGGTATGGAGGCCAGGTTTACATGCTGGGTCCTGCGTGGTGCCTGGGCTCCTGCCTGGTCTGGCGGGCTTCTGTGTCCTGGACTACTGGCCGTGGGCTCGCTTCACTTGCCTGGCCTGGTTTCTCGTACACTGCACCCGCCCAGTGGGGCAGCTGCTCTGTGGGGGGTCCTCCCTGGCGTCTTTGGGGGGTGCCTAGTCTCGGACAGCACTGTATTGAAGTAGGTTGGAACAAGAGAGGGGAAGTTGGGGAGCTGCCGGCACCTTGGCTGTGTTGTCTTTTCCATGTCAACCTGCATCTGGAAATGTAAAAATAAAGAAGGCAGAACAGAGACTGAGGGGGCAGTCACCTCAGCTTGTGTACCAAATTATGTTCAGATGGCATGTTATGTTAGGGTGCTGAACTTTTTTTATTCAGTAAATTCACTTTCAGGTCTATTATAGAGCCAGTCTTGTCAATAATTCAAACTGTATGTCATTGTTTAATTTTTTCATATCTTTTGTTGTTTATGTGTCCAGGAACCTGGAGCCTTGACCCAGCTGTCAGTGGATGATCTTGTTTAGGTCATATATTTAGCACAGAGCCACAAAGGCGGCAGTTAAAAGCAGTAATAAAGCCACAGGACAGTGGGCTCCTCACTTTTTGTCATGCGGGCCAAAAAAAAGGACTTACGGGCCAAAACAAACAGAATATTGAAAATACGAAATTATTTTATACTAAATTTCTTATTACATTTTTGGGGTATTGCCTTTAATTTAGTTTCTTGAATTAGGAAACAGTTTTATACATTTTCAGCAACAAGATCAGAATATGGGTCACACTTCCTTTGCAAAAACTTGCTGCATTTGGCCAAGTTTAATGAACGGGTGCTCCCAAAGTCAGGGGCAGCTTGTCATCATATTTACTTGTGAAATTGGAATGAATATCATATTCAGTGGGTGACAAACAAAATCCTGTAGCTGGTGAGGTTGAGTAATAAGGCAGAGTTTATCACATGGATTATCTAATCAGATCACCAGAAGGCAATAGCAGTATATTTAAAAGCAAGGTTATGCACATTTAGTCTTGCCTTTATTAAGTTACTTTGGTGCCCAGAATAGATCCAGCTAATGCAACAAAAACACCATACTGTTTTTCTCTAGAAAGGCATTTGGGACAGTTAGAAGCACCTCATGCAGTGGTGGGGGAAAGAAATAGGTTGTCAGAGCTGTGAATGAAGATTAATGTTTGGTTAACATGTTTGTGAAGAATCTGAGTAGAGTGAGAGAGGATACACCTGGGCTACGATTTGATCGTATCACCAACCAGCTGTGAGTGCATTCTTTGGTACAACATTTTGGATCAATGCCCTTGGGGTCATTAGCAGTGCCTCTGCCTCAGTGTTTAAACCAAAAATCTATTTATCTGGTTTTCTCATATTGATTTGTCGTGTCTTCCTCCTCTCAGCATCAGAAGCCAACAGGGTCTTCTAAGCTTTCAACAGAGATGGGTAGTGATACAGGAGGGAACACAGACAGCCTCATCAATGTCCTTCTACCCCAGGGGTCCCCAATTAAAATAGCAGGAGGTCCACTCCCTCATTCAAACACTTTGGGGTCTGAACATTTTAAATCAAGAGACAAAAATATGTTCTTTCATCTTTATTTAACATTTAATTAATATTAGACTATTCATATGTCCATTAAATCTTATGCTGAATTGAAAAAAAAAAACAATCTAATTTAAGTACCAATACAAAACACACTTTGAATAGCTCAGTCAAGTTCAATTCATTTGCCTCTCTTAAACACAGCTCCTCTTACTGAGAGGACTGCAGTGTTTTTCTGTTTCTATTGGCTGAGCAGTAGCAGGACTTTCTGAAAATTCTTCTTAAAAGAAAAGAAGATCCAGCACAAATACGCTTACACTGAACTTTACCTGTACTGTAAAATATGTTTAATACAAGTGCTGTATATTATAGAATCAAAACAACAAAACAGAACTTGGAGGACAAAACATCTCTATGAGCCTTATTACTAAAAATACTTTGCTGTGTGCTGATAAGTTTTGTAATTTGTGTTTGTAACAAACCATGGATATATAAATATCCACACTGATATTTGAATTCATGGGTATACTTTGTTCATTTGGCTCAGTTAGCTTAATGTTGCTGTTTAGGAATTTGTGTATCGAGATTTGATAATAAGCAAATTGTTTAATAATTGATATATAAACAATGAAGTGTATGAGTTGTATTTGAATGCACTGTTAAAAGTGCACCTGCTGTGGAAACAGCTCCATAAACAGACTCTTCTCCACACAGTACAGGTGTGTGGTCAAGTGTCTGCTGCTATAAACACTCTAATGCATGGTCGTTGCAATCAATATTTGTAATGGGGACATGTCCCTCCCACATTTGAAAACTATTCATTCAGACACCCCTCATTTCCAAAAGTATTACTTCCCCCAGTGCTGTTTCTATTGCTTTGTGAATGAAACTATTCCACTCGATTGATAGGAGAATACTCATACCACTAAAACTCCACTCCAGGTTTTCCTGGTTACCTACAACATCAAACTGCATCGTATGCTTGTGTGTTTTCTGCCAACAAGCAAACGTAATTGGGGACTGAGGTGATAGAACCTTGTAGTTTAACTATGTCGTGGTGGTTCCATTGAAGTGACTGCAATAGAGATTATTGAATTGAACTGCAGAAGTGGGGGCTGCATGGTGGCGCAGTTGGTAGCACTGTTGCCTTGCAGCCTGGGTTCGACTCCCGGCCACAGGTCTTTTTGCATGGAGTTTGCATGTTCTACCCATGCATGCCTGGGTTCTTTCCGGGTACTCCAGCTTCCTCCCACAGTCCAAAGACATGCCTGTTAGGTTAATCAGTCTCTTTAAATTGCCCTTAGGTGTGTGAATGAGTGTGTGCATGGTTGTTTGTGTGTTGCCCTGCGATGGACTGGCGACCTGTCCAGGGTGTTCCTCGCCTACCGCCCTTAGACTGCTGGAGATAGGCACCAGCTTCAACGTGACCCGATATGGAAAAAGCAATATAGAAAATGACTGACTGCAGAAGTGTGTAAAGTGTCTTACCCGTGATGAAGTCGAAAACAGTGATATTTTTCAAAATAAAGTACTCCACAAACTGCAGGTAAAATGGCAACCTTGACAGACCAGTCTAGTCGCCCCAAACTGCAGAGGAGAGAGAGAAAAGTTGGCAAGCCACCCATTATGGTGGGTTCAGACTGAACCCAATTTAAGCGTCAAGGGCGTCTGGTGTTTATGCAAAGTCTATGGTGGATGCACGTCTCATTTCACGCATCTGGTGCGGTGTGTTATGATGATTGGTTGACGCACTGTGTCTGATTAGTTGACACAGTGCGTCAACCAATCAGAGAACCTCAGTTTTGTGACGTAGTGACAAATTTTATCATGAGAGGGAAGGACCATTTTACTATTTACGAATCATAAACCATGCCTGAAGGCTGAAAGATAAGAAAAAGGACACATCAGCTTTCTGAATTACATGCAGGCATAGCACTGTATTTAATAACATCCTAAACCAGCCGATTACACATAAAATCACCTGTTCGGATGCACAAACATTTTCCCACAAAACACACAAAACAATACCACCATGACATGAAACAGCATCTGCAGGAGGAGGGAGCAGGCAGAGAGCAGCTGCCTATAATCAGACTGTCTGCCTCGGATCAAACCAGAGGAAGTCCGCGGAGTCCACAGTTATGGGCTTTAAAGTCTCTGTCCTTATTATTGCCATGGCTGAGAGGGAAACTTCCTCATAAAATTGGAACTTTTTCAGGCAAACTCTGGAGCTTCACCAGTCCAAAAAGCAGCGTTTCTCCTTGCTGCTTATCCTGCCACCCCCCACCTTAGTGGAGCGGAGCGGCAGTGGACAAGCCAGTGGAAAAGGGGCGGTTTGTGCCCGTCCATTCAGCAAACAAAACCAAGCCACTCTCTCGATTGCATCTGCCATTGTACACAAGAGACTGGCAAAGGGTAGCTCCTCGCAAAACGTGTCTGTCCACACTTTGCTCACATGCACTTCTAGAGTGTTTTTGACGCATGTCTATAGCATCTATCTTAAAAGTGCACAAGCGTCCAACTTGAGGTATTGGACAACTTTTTGGCGCTCAAATCGCATGCGGTCTGAATGCACCATTAGCCACTCCTGCCCTAGCCTAGCCTATTTTCCTCTGTACCAGTGGTGTTAAAACTCAGCTTTACATTGTTTCAGGTGAGAAATTAAATTCAATGAGTAGAGTAATCTACGTATTTTCATGCTCTTTGAAAAACTCTGACATAAAGTCTTAATTTAACTAACTAACTTTCTTTCTCCATCATCACTGTAGCTGCATGAGAAACCGTAATTTTTTCAAAGAGCAGACTTCAGTAGCTGGGGGTCCTCTCGACTACTGAAGTCTCAGTCCTCTCAGATTTTCACTTTTTAAATTTGTGCGGTGGAATTTACAATTCTGCACTCTCTGCACATAAATGTTTTACATATGTACAAGGTAAAAACAATTGCTGTATTTAGTGATACACATGCTCAGCGGCCACAGATTAATTTAGAGGTGGGGGGGCCTGTGGGGTGTGGCGTTGCACATGATCAGTTTTACCTACTATCTCTCGCACGCAGCACTGAAAAAAACGTTTTCACGCCTACGATAAAGGTAAAGCAGGATGTAGTCATAGCCTCACTGGGTCCGTCCAGACCACAAACATAAAGCCTTTGTTTAATGGAAAATAGAAATAAACTCGTCAGGGCTGTGACTGGGATGACAGACTTGCTGCTGTGAATAGTAACGACCAAAGTTAACAAACTGCAACAGCTCAGAAGAGCAGAAAAGAACACAACAGAAGGAAAAAAATAGTTTCTGGACAATGCGTATTGATGCAGCGCAGCCTCTGGATCGGGCCACTGTTCCTCCCACACCCTATCCAGGAGCCGGAGGATTTGCGTTTTCCTATAGCAAACAGATCCACTGCTGCTGTGCTAAATCTGCTCCAGATCTGATAGATTAGGTCAGGATGGAGGCTCCTGGACACAATGTCTATTCCTCTGTTTAGGATGCTGAGGGAGCACTGTGCTGATGGAGCACAGATTTGTGCATGCCCAGCATAGTAGGCTAAATATAAAAAATAAATATACAAAATAAAGGACACAAAGTTTCCTTATAATATAAATAAATTATAAATCAGTATTGATGGATAATAAGTACACTTGGGATGCATATTTTACACAGTAATCAACCGAGGATACATTTAGCTGGCCTCTGACTTCACAGAGTCAAAGATCCACTAAGGTAATTGCCTTATTAGAAGGCAATTACCTGTTTACACATTGCCAGGTTGGTTTGGATAGTTTTTTTTTTTTTTTTTTCAATAATACATGAAATCATTTGAAAACTGCATTTTTCCAAGATGACTGTCTGTTATTAAATTATTTGAATGACCTAAAACACTGCCTGTTTACTGGTATTGAAACACCTTGAATAATAATTCTAATGCTTTCTTACTACATAAACATGGGTTATGATTTACCCCTGTATGAGAAAGCTTGGCTGTAGGCATCTCTTAATTTTCTTCTTTAAATGTTTACATGTTGCCCTGAAAACATAATTCCTGTACAATTCAATTAACCTGCCTAAAATCCTCTTTGAATCCCTGCAAGATACTGTGATAAGAACAGAGGAAACATACCACTGCAAACTACCATCCAACATGCATAGGCTCGTAAACAAACATCAAACCCATAATTTTGAGATGAACGCAAATGAGCAGTAAAATGCTTCTAAATATTACTTCCGTAGTGCTGAACAAGGTCATTTCTCTGTATTTGAAATAACTGTCATTTTTATACAAACCATTAATGTCATTATTGGTCATAACAAACATAGTTTTTACCATTATAGCACTTAAAACGTCCATTATCTTTGCCCATTATGATGAAACTGCTCTATAAATCATAGAGCACCACTGGGGAGGGAAGCGACTAGGAGGACTTTTATGCTCCTGCATTTTGTTGCTAATTACAGCTCTTTGCTTTCTGATTTCTCTAACAAATAAATGCCCCATAAATGTGATAATGTTCATGGTTTATTTATTAGTAGTGTAAACAGAGGAGACTTAGCAGGCAGAACAAGACACAGCTAGATGAAAGTAACCCCGCTGGTTTCAGCAGATGAAAGTCAATTTAGCCCAAGTGAGATTCTGTGAAGACGCCCTGCTGCGATGTGTCCTCCTGCTGCTGATGATAATGGGACGTTTGACCCTTATTGTCCTATCAGCTGTTACAGATGTGTTATTCCCTCCTGTAGGTCACCCTCAGGCTGCAGCAGCTGCCTCCATCAGCTCGACGCTTCTAGCCAACCTTCCACCTCTGACAGCACCACTGAACACCAACCAAACCTCCTCAGGATTCACTGCTTCAAAACATCTGCCGCCAAAAGTTTTCCAGAGGCCGAGACTGATTAGATATAAGAACTGTTCCATAGACAAGCTATGAAGATCCTGCAAATATTCTCCACTAAATTCCTCTCTTTCTCATGAGCCTGGGAGATTGATGTAACACATTTTTAGGTTCTGACCACAGAACTAGCTGGCAGTGGGAAATGTGTAAACTGCTACTTTGTCTTTACATTTTTGGGCATTTATTACCAGTAAGCCATTAATGGTCAGAGGCTTATTCATAGATGTACTCTCAACATGTGTGACAAGAAACATATTTAAGTGAACATATTTCACATATCATACCTTACATTCAGTCACAATAACGAAATGGCAATAAGAAACGTTATATATAAGAAACAGGGCAGGAAAGCTTTTAACATGCTTTATTTAACATAATGAATTTTAGCACATTAGAAAAACTTTTCGCAGATAAATATCTTGACCTTTGTTTGCCACCTGGAGAGGCGTGATCGGGAATGGCCTCCCCGATCTGAATCCGAGTGGTGTTTTGTTATTGGACTTCTGTGCTAGTCATGGATTGTCCATAATGAACACCATGTTCAAACATAAGGGTGTCCATCAGTGCACTTGGCACCAGGA